GGTGGGATTGTCGTATGAGGAGAGACTAAAATCTCTAAACTTGTTTTCTCTGGAGAGGAGAAGGTCGGAAGGAATTTGATTGAGGTGTTTAAGATTATTAAGGGTATTGATAATATAGATCTATGAAACTCTTTTTTTTTGTGTGTTTAGCAGTGAAAACAATAGGACATGGGGTCATAAGTTCAAATTTTGACAGCATAGGAATCGTCTGCAGTTTAGACAATATTACTTTTCAAACTGGGTGGTTAGCTTTTGGAATGAGCTGCCTTCAAGGGTGGTGGAAGCAGAAAATTTAACTGAGTTCAAGAAAATATTGGATGAATAATGGAATAGTGAGGGGTAGTTATAGTTGGGATCTGGAAGGGACATCCTTGATGGGCTAATAAGCTCTTTTTTGTCCCTTTAAAATTTTTGAATTTATGATTATACTACACCCAATACATGTTACAATAATGTTCATGTATGTCTTTGAAATAATTCCCTTTAAAAACTTCAATATTATTCTTGCTCTTCCCAGTTAAAAACATGAAATTACTTTGATGGGTTTTCTTCATATTTTCCACATCTACTGGCATTATCTGCACGCAGTACAATAATTTCAAACCAGTAGTGATAATTTTTTCACATTCATGTATCAAAACTGTCCTCTGACTTAGAATAATTTCTGCTCTGATATTCATTGAAAATTATGAAACTACAGTTCAGTTTTTGTTTGTTTTTCAAGTACTAAAAATATATATATACTAAACAGCAACATCTCAATAGTAAAAATTGTTTTTGAATTAGAAATCAGTCAATGTATAAAAATGATAAATATATAAAAGAATTCAAAACGAACAAACCTCTCTGCATTTTCATCTTTGGAAACATGGATTAATGGTGGACCTTCAAGAAGAGACTGTTGTACTTCAGTATGACTTAAAGATGTAAATCCTGAATGTAGGACTTGCGAGTTACAATTCTGAAAGTCTGAAGTACTTGGAACACATAATTGAGGTGTTGATGTCAGATCAGTAACTTCAGAAATGGCTTGATGACTTATAGATTTTTCTTCTGTAAGTGTTTCACATATAATCTCTGAAATATTCTTGGGATGAGTTTGAGTAAGAATAGGCTCTTGGGAAACATAATGTGATAATTGTGGAATACGAACTGAATGGACCTGGTTTGAAAAAGTAATAGCCTGAGAATAAACATCTTCTACATTCTGGTTTGGATTGACTGGATTGCTTTGTGATGCTTCACTTACGGGAAAAATAATTTTGTATAAAGGAAGAGAGTGTTGGTGAGTGCTTAGTGTCAACTCTTCAGCAGGAATTACTGGATATGTTTGGTTTATTAAATAATGTGAAGCACTACCTGAATTGTTAACAACACGTTCGTTATAAAGTGCATTTGGTAATCCAGTATTACTGGATCCTATAGCAAAGTTGTCTTCAGGAGACATCTCACACTTGGCAATACCTTGATGAGCTACATTTTTATCAGTAAAGTCAGTGCAAGCCCATCGGCCTCGTTTAACAGGATCATTACTCACAAGTTTCACAATCTTAAATCGATCTTGTTTTTCATGAGATATGGGAGCCATAGATAACTTATTGGTGTTGCTAGATGTGACACAAGTTGTTACCAATGATAATACTTGTTGATCCATTTGTAGTTTCATTACATTTTCTGAAAAAGCTGTAGTATCTGAAGAAAAGGAGAAAGGTATTTTGGAATCAATAATATTCCCAGAAGGGACGAACTCCGGGGGTTCAGAACCTACAGGTACAGATGGACTAGAGGAAATAGGGGATTGTACCATATTGCTGTTAATGGTACTAGTACTATAACTATTGCTGCTACTGCTACCACTACAGCCATTTGTGTCCTCAGAAGACTGACCATTATCCACATCCATTCTTTTTCTTCCATTTAGGATTTCCAAATTTAACTCACAAAAATCACTATGCAGATTTAATATGGCTCTTTGAGCTGTGACACTTGTTATTTGGAAAGACGATTTCTTCTCTTGTTCATGAGGTTTCTCTGGGGTTACAGACGTATTTTCCATTAAACATTCCCTTACTTGATTAGCATTAGATCTGCTGATGCTAAGAAGTGAATTTGAATCCACAGCCAATAGTTCTTGATTTGCATTAGGTCTGTTGATATTGAGGGATGAATCTAAATCTGCAGCCTGTTGTTCTTGGTTAGCATTAGTTCTAAGCATATTAAAACATAAGTTTGATTCTACAGTTCTAAGTTCATCATTTGCACTTGCCTTCTCAAGATCAAAAGCCAAGTCAGATTTCAAAGCTGCTATTTCTTGACTAACATTGGACCTCCTCATATTAAAGCATCAATCAGATTCCACACACGGAATGGAATCATGAAATGCACTTGCCTTCTCAAGATCAAAAGCCAAATCAGATTTCAAAGCTGCTATTTCTTGACTAACATTGGATCTCCTCATATTAAAGCATCAATCAGATTCCACACACGGAATGGAATCATGAAATGCAATATCCGCCAGTTACAAATGCCTATTTTCTTCATTTAGAGAATTATTGGTCACGAGTTTTTATAAGGCAGCATAGTCTTCAAAACAGTTTTCAAACCTATTAAAATAAACCAAAAACACCCATTGACAACCTGTAGACAAATATAATTCATTAAATGTGACACAGTAACAATTAAAATTAAGGTTTCTGCTACATTACAGTTAGAACTGCTTCTGAAAGCAGTCTCCTCAATGTGTAGAAGTAGTATAGAATTAAGTCAGCTGTTACATTTTTCTCTTTGGATTCTAGTAACCTTCCATCAAATATTAACATTTTAGCTACAAAATTTGATAATATCCACTGCTGCATTACTCTATGCTAGATGCATATATTTCAGTCAGTCATGATTAAATATGTCTCCTTCATTTTCTTCACCCCATATTCTCACTCAAAGTTAGTTGTGTAAAAATGCCAGATCATTTATTGTGTGTATAAAATTCCAATTTAAAAAACTAATCTCACCTCTGTATCATTACTTCATAGCAACTCAAGTCATCAATGGAGATACCAATTAGTATCTTGTAGCTGGTTGACTAAAGACATTCCCAAATAGATGTACAGTTGATAACCAAATTCCAAACTGGAAAGCCCTCATAATAATTGACCTAATAACATAAAATTTTCATACTCAATAAGAAAAGGACTAAAACAGTTATATACTTGAACCAACCAATAATTGATAACAGATTCAAAGGTTTCTATCATAATTGAAAAGTTCACAAGTGCTATGTCTATAACAAGAATAAAATCCATATAGATTTGCATTTCACCTCATACAAAGTCTTAAGAATTACACGCTTTATGCTAATTTGAGATTATTTACAGACATGTTTCATAAAATAGCAAGTATTCTGAAACCCATTTAAATCTAACTGCAGTTAAAATCTTTTGACATAAAAGCATTCAGTATAATATTTAGTTTCTTATGAGTGATAAAAGAAATACATAATAGAAATAATGTTCTTCATGTTTTCAACAAAAACATTAGGAGTTTGTGAAATACAAAAACAAATTTAAATTTTACAACAAAACCTCAGTACTTCTCACCTTATTGAATTTAGACGGAAGACAATGTTAGTGAAAGTTAGTAGAAATTTCCAATTTTAAAACGGATAAAGAGAGGTGAGTTAAGCTGGCTCAAAATTTGCTTCAAATTGTTATTTACAAGACACAAGAATTCTTCACTTTATCTCATCCTCAACTCTACTCACAATGTTACATTCACATGAAATATTAAATTTAGATAAAACTCTGTTGAGACCTGTACCTAATGCATTTCCTGCTCAGTGTAGCATATGTTTTTTGTAAGTTTTATCATAGTGAATAGCAGCCTACTATGCTGTGGAACAAAAATAAATCTGTACATGAAATGTGGCTGCTTATGTTTGTGAACGGTATTGAAGCTGGAGATGCAATAAAGGATTCAAAAGTTTGTTTTAGTTCAATACATCTTTCTGTATTCTGTCTATTACAGAGAATCAAACTCCAAATTTTAGCATTGCAAGTCTGTAAATTTACTGCTGATCCAACGGGGAACTAGTATTTACAAAATTTGCGATCGCTGCCTTTCAATAACCTGTCATAGTCTAACAGTATAAAAGAGGTTTTCACCCACCTCACATACTAATGATATTGGTATTTGACACCAGGTTCTCTCTTCCAATGCTTGTAACTTTTGGAATGACATGCCCTTTCATAACATACATTGATTAGAGTACCAAACTACAAATAATTTTATTATCATTTCTATAAAATAGGGTGGAAAATTTATACTACAATTTGTACTTAAATACAGTATGCCAAGGAAAGGAGTATCAACCCGATAGTAGCTGTTGTTAGAACAGAAGGAGAAAACTTAGGGCAAAATCATTAAACTCTGAAGTACATAGGTCGAGTACATTATGTTAAAACAACGTTGGAGCCTCATTATCTTATTACAGTCCATGTCGTCAAGTCCGGTAATGCTTTATCTGATGACTGTGCATCTTGAAAATAGTATTGCAGTGTAATTTTCACTGCAAAAGGCTGTTATTTCAAACTCACTCCACTCCATCTCGCATACTTTCCATAAGCTATCTAGTGTACAAGGATGATAGTTTTCCCACACCAGTTTCAATGCTCAAATCACAGAGAAATTCATGGGTGCTGCATCATTTACATGGATATGTTGTGGAAGCAACAGTTGTTCATGTGACTTGTGCCACTTTTACAGATAGGGAGTCTTCATTGTGTTGCTTGGGGTATGTGGATGACCTTTGCCACTGATCTTTCTTTATGTTCATGGATTCTCACCTATGACAAGATGTTACCATGGCTGGAGGCTGGGGTACAACTTGTTACAGGTCACTTTCTGAATAGTTCTGAGTTACCAAGTTGGCCCATATTCCTTTGTTTTCCAATGTAATATCATTACCATTGAAATTCTAACTCTCCAATCTGAATGCATTTTTATGGTATAAAGTGGTGTATGAATATTGTGCATGGAAACAGTTGTCACATACCTTTCTCAAAAGCAGTCAATTTTCAGTAGTATCACACTAACTACAAAATGTTGGTACTACTATAGTGTGCAGTCTACAAAAATATTTAAAGCATGCAGTCTACACAGATACTATCATCTTCATCACTGTTTTAACTTTCGTTTATTTGCAATTGGCACCATTTATTATAAATAATGCTTTTAAACTAATAAAGTACAAGATAAGATTACATAACATTTTGGGGGCAAATATAATCAGAATGAAAAAAATTCCAACAATCAAAATTAGCACAATTATAATCTAAATTTAAGGTACTGTTTTTTGGAACACACAACTTATTTAATTATTATTATTTACTGAACAAAAACGTGGATAGATATAAATTATTTAGCAAGAAATTATGTTTTAGTGAATCATTAAAACAATGATGATGATAGTATCTGTGTAGACCACATCTTATGGTTTTAACACAAAACTCTGATTAGGAGCACAACAGGATATGAATTGTTTTAGAAATAACCTTGTATTAGTTTGTTTTGTACTACTTTTGAGGCCACATATTTACTAATTTGCTGTATTTAGAAAAAATGAACAGTTTTTAAAGAGTAGCATCATTAAAATGTTAAAGTGGTGTCTTTGGTGTAAGCTCATGAAGACAGTAACATAACTGCTCTACAACAAAGAGAAAGCTGAAGTTAAAAGCCCAGCACATTGCCCCAGATGTCTTTCTTTGCATGTTGAAAGTTCATTGTGAGGTAAGTAGCTATATCTTCAGCATACAAGTTTCTGATCTTGAAATAATGAAGGCCTATCTGGCACATGTTAATTATTCTTATTCATTTCAGACCTAAGTCCACTTGAATAAAATATAATATTTAATAAATATACATCATCTTCCCAGTGCTTCGTTCATTTCCTAAAATTTGGGAAACAGAGGAACTAATCCATAGGAATGTAGTAGGCGGGTTTAGGCCAAAAAATTTAAATTGAGGTAAGCCTTTATTATCCCAACTAATTATTGAATTGTATTAAAACTATAAGGATATTAATAACGTGTGACATATGGATGCCACTGTTGGGAAAAACATGCAAGTTAGATCTCAAAAAGTCAACAAATGATATAAAATTAGGTTTAGTGCTTCTTTGATATCAAATAATACATTTCATTTTCATGCATGTTTGGACAACACACTTAGAATCATCTTATTTGAGAATGTTAATCTCATTGACGTTGTTTCGATTCAAGTGATGATTTTTTTGCAACACTACTGGTACCAGAGTACCACTGAAAACAGGGTTCAACGGGCAATTTTTTTTGTAGTGTTTATAAAAGTTAGTATTTGTTCTAACCTATTGATAAATATAATAAATTAGATAATCTAAGATTAAAATTATCACAAAGATATCATAGAAAGACTGATCACTGTTCAGTTAAAATATACAACTGCCATACCAATACTATATTATATATAAATATAATCTAGGCAATACTTACATGATTAACCCTAAAAGTGAAAATTCAAGATAAAAAAGGGGTCACAATTTTCTTGACATTTCAAGGTTTCAAGTTCAATTTTTTTTCGTTAACTCCCGACTTTTTAAACCTTCTCAAATTTCCTTACATTTCTAGATTCGTCATCTGCAAATAACTAATAGTACAATTACAACCACGTTTCTCGATCCTCAGTATACTAATAGTAATACTATTAACTTAAGAATTATTAATTTATATAGCTTTACAATAATTGAGAGCATAAAAAAAGCAATTTTTATAAAACTTGCAAATATTAAACTCCACACTTATATTTTTCCATATTTTAGAAGAAAAAAATCCAATAACATGATTAAGTTTATATCATACCGCGTTGCAATTCACTGACTTATTACTTATAACTATAGTATGAGTAATCCATCAAACTTTGTGTAGACGAAAGTATTGTCTCTCGAAAAGCGCTATATTCTGATGTGTGCTATAGTTAATTATGTAATAAGTTATATTATGTAGCTTTACTATAATTACATTAAAACATTTTTATAGCTTAAAAGACTAAATCAAATATTACATTATAGTAATACATACCTCGATATTCTTAGGATCAAAAAGTGAACCCAAGTTTGCCAATCGAACGAAATATTAAATTTCCGTAAATAGAAACGTTTATGTTTCTAATTGTCTAAAAATGATGTTATTTGAAAAATAATTTTTTTAACACATGCTGAAAACTATAAATGTACAATAATAAGTATTACGATCTGTGTATGTTGAAGTTACTTCCAAGAGTTAAATAATTTGTAGTCTCTAATTGCTCATTAGATAAGAAAGTCAAACAGATACCTAAAAGTCCAGCACAATAGCTAGTTATCTACATTACTATTTATTACATTATGAAACCAAACACAAAAGTAGTCTCAGTTAATTGTACGAAATTACTTATTTTATAACTATAGCAAAAAGGCAGATATTGAAATGACAAGGGGTATGAAACTATTTTCCCCAAGGGTTAGCAACGTATGTGCAATTTCCCAAGTAACCGAGATGAACACTCCTAAATACAATTCACGGTATGCCTTTTCATTAGTCGTCAAAAATAACCGTCTTCAAAGGTATAGTGACTATGGAAATGACAGCAAGATTTTAACAACAGTATGGGCCTCCCACTTTTCAATCTGCTCCAGTGAATATGCATCAAAATTAGGAAAATTACTCTCAGAAAAAGTACGAGAATGCATAAAAGTTAATCCAGAACTTAAAAACTTCCAGGACCCTAAGGCGAACACTAGAGCACAGCCATATGGTGCACATTCCTTTGTTTCGCTCAGTCAAATAAATCTTGTCCCTCCTACATCTCTGTTCTTCTACACTGAGTGGTCACAAGTGAATAGACA